AGGTAATAATGACAGCTGAGAAAATGTAGGTGAGGGAAAGGCAGGAAGCTCACAGGAATGAACCAAGGAAAGAGGGTTCATTYCCGTGACAGGACACACAGGCTCCTAATGCCAGATAAAAGGAAGACAAAAAGGTTGGTCCTCTTTCTATGTAAAGTTCAACTATGCCCAGGAGCAGACACATCCCACACAGAAATGGCCATAAAACATCACTTCAATTTTAGTATCTCYGAAAAAATTTGCAAAGAAAAACATGGCTCATTATTTTTATTTCTGAATTTTTTGTTTCTACTTCAGATTTAAGCCACTCAAAGTCAGTTTTCATTCTGTAATTATTTCTAAGGATTCTTGAGAAACATACAGAATTCCCTCATACACACAGGCATGCCTGCGCAAACACATGATTTTATTTTTGTCCAACTTCTTTTTTAAGGCAAAGGGCTTCTAATGAAAAGAAACATGATGTAAATTGGCTCTTTTCTCCTATTTAAGCATAAGCTCTCATATCTTTGAACACAATAAATTAAAATAGGTGTACAAAAGGAGCAGACAACAGAAAATGCATGCATTTCTTCCCCACAAGCAAAAGTGATCTTATGAAAAGGCAAGGCAGGCCAAGCAAACTAATTTCTCTCTTTCCTCTGGCAATTTTCTCCACCCTATAAGAAACCCTTGGTCCCTTCTTGGTTRAATGGCTCTTTTACAAAAGAAGTTTGCAATGACAACTCATTTGTGCAAAGAAATGACAGAGAGGGCAGTCACTCCAGCTTTGGATAAAATACCCCTAACTTCAAGCTGGAAGGGTCTAATTAGCAAGCACTCTACTATCACTCAGTTTTGCTGGAGTTTCCAGTATCTTTTTGAAGAATGAAAAAAAGTTTCAAAGTCCAGCCTAAACTTAGCTCTTTGATACCTAGACAGAAAAGGAAATTAACAATCAAGAAACTCTACTTATTGCAGGTACCATCTAAATCAGACTAATGAATAGGTGGTAGGTGGAGCATATAGCCCACAGAGCTTGTCTATCAAGCACTGGAGAAGGAAAGAGGTTGAGGGGACTGCAGAGGAGAGCAAGCTGAAAAAACCATAGAGCTACAGGCTGTGATCTGAAAAAGTAGSTGCCCTAACATAACTGTCATCACCACAACAATGGCTTCCAACCCCCAAACTCAAGACTAAACCACTGAAGTAGTACATGAACCTGAAGGAAAGAGAAATCACCARGTTCAAAAGAAAATAATCTAATAGTGGTGTGGGCCTTGCCGTCTCAGATTACAACATTTCTTCCAATTATAACAAAAATAGAGTGGGTAGGTGGGTAGGACCCACAACAATGAACTGCTATGGAGTGTCATGCAATGGAAATAAGAATTTATCCAAGTGAAGAACTATAACAATCAAATCAAAAATGTTTACTGGCTCTGTCATTTTTCCTTCTTTCAACCAGTTGGGCTGRCACATCCACAAGCACTAAGGGAAGCTCAGGGAACATTATTCCTTGCTCTCTAGGAGTTAGTGGGTGGCACAGACAAGGCCAAAATCCTAAATACCCCAATTTGGTTCTGACTACAAAGAAAGCATTCACAGGCTGCTGCAGGAGCTCACCAAAGGCCTATCTAACCCAGCCTGAGGGGTCAAGGAAACCTTCATCAAGGAAGTGATGGCAGAAGTGAGCCTTGAAGGCAGAAGAAATGAGCCATGTGAAAGACAGAGGGGAACTCCAGGCAGAAAGCAAGTGTCATATTTGAGAAACTGCAAGAACACAGAGACACACACACACACAAAAAAAAAAAAAAAAAGAGAAAAGGTAGACTGGGAAGGAAGGCAGAGGCTGAACCATGAAGGGCTTTATATCCCAGACTGAAGGTTCTGCAACTTAGTTCTAAGGCAACAGGGGAGTTGTTTTAAAAAACTAAGTAAAGAAGGCTGGAGTCATGGCTTAATGGTAGAGCTCAGTGGTAGAGTGCTTGCCTGGCATGTGTGAGGCCCTGGGTTCAGCAATGCATATAAATAAATAAATAAATAAATAAATAAATAAATAAATAAATAAATCCATTGACAACTAAAAAATACTTTAAAAAAACTAAAAAGTGACATAATCTTATTTGATTCATACAAAGTCCCTTCACTTAATAGCAACACAGACCTGGGTCTGAAGAGGGATAAGGTCAAAGCTGAGAAGACCAACCTAGGGGGCTGCTGCAGTAATCCAAGGGAGGAAATTTTGAGCCCAACCTAAGCGGGCAGCAATGGGAATAAGAAAGTCAATCAGATTCAAGGGCTATGTTCTTATTGCTTGGTAAAAACTCAATATACCTTAGATAACCTATATGCCATGGTGTGCTGGAAAATGTTTTTTAAAAGAATGCCCTGATTTGTAGCATTTCCCAATTTCTGTGGTATAAGTACTCCCAGCACGGTGTCACTGAAAGTGGAGCTAGGAAGGTGTGTGTGCAGTGCAAAGTCAGCTCCAGCATGGGTGCCTACTTGTGAGAACTGAGAAGCAGGCAGAGTCTAGGAAAATGCAAAGCCTTCCCTGGCTTAGGGACCCCAGGCAGGGTAGGAAATGGAGGAAGTTAACTGAGTTCCTAAGTTCCTTTTGGAACATACTGAGTTAAAGGAACCTGTAACCTTTAATTGTAAATATGTCTAGCAGGCAGCTGGATACACGGGTTTTGAACACTGCAAAGAAAAAATCTGGTTGGATGTTATAGCTAAAATGAAAGTTAAAATGAACTGTGAAAAGACCAAAAAGATATGAGAGTGGAAGAAAGAACTCTGGGAAATATCAGAATTAATGGGATGAATGGAGGAAAAGAAGCTTATTTCTTAGAATGATGGCTAAGAAAGAATTTACAGAAAGGGAGGATTTCTTGGAACCAATTTGCCAAAAGCCAATTCACCAAATAGTCAATTCTCTGACAATCATTTCATCAAAAAATTCAGTTACCAAAGTTTTGTACTAGAGATCAAACCCGGGGCCTTGAACATACCAGGCATATGCTCTACCATTGAGTCACATCCCCAGCCCCAATCTATTTYTTTTAATTGTGGATAAAACAATTGCTTATTAGATGGACTTATTCTCAGCAAATTGGCCTGGTTGAAGATGGGAAGCCAAGCAGAGCATGGTAGTGCATACCTATAATCCCAGTGACTTGGGAGGCTGAGGCAGGAAGATAGTAAGTTTGAAGAAAACTCAACAACTTAGTGATATCCTAAGCAACTTAGTGAAATCCTATCTCAAAATAAAAAGTAAAAATCACTGAGAATATAATCTAGTTCAGTGGTAGAATACCCTTGTGTTCAATACCTAGTACCACCAAAAAAAAAAAAAAAAAAAAAAGGACAGGAAGTAAAAAGTTTTAAGAAGCTTGGGTAAGTGGGTGGTGGCAAGTGCCACCAAAGAGGTCAACAGCTCCGGGATGGAAAATGTCCTCTGGTAACCTTACTCCACAGAACTGAAGTGGAAAGGAAAATCTCAGTAGGAATGTGAATGGAAAGGAAAAGCAGGCAAAGTACAGAAGCACACAGGAGTAAAGGAAAACATATAAGAGGAAAGAGTATTGGTTATTTTTCTTTTCACTTGTAACATGTATGTTCACAGCATATTTCCACACTGAATGGAAAAGATCTAGCATTTAAGAAACTAAAGTGATAAACCAAGGGGTTAAAGTAATTAATGCCTGGTTTTCCAGAAGAGGAAGAGGAAGGAGTATGTCCCTAAGCTATTTCTGGAGCAATCCTTCTTCTGTTGTAGCAATCAAGATATGTATCATCCACCTAGAGGCCCTGATATAATTTCATGCAATCCTRTCAGAACATTTTTTAAATGACGCTAATATATATAATGAATTCTTCTATCCTTCGTTTTTCATTGTCCCAAACTCTCATCCTCACTGTCATTTTCCTTCCCTTGTAATATTCTACCCCTCCCAATGGCCTCCCATTTCATGAGGGGAAAATGTGGTGTTTTTTTTTTTTTAATGTATCCAATACATTCACAACTGCCTTCACAAGTATTTGATGCCTATATACTTTACTCTTAACTTTTGAAAACATTTATGTTTCATAACTACACCAAAGTCTTTCATGCTTAATTACAGATACCCAGTATCACATCAACATTTTGCCTTGCCAAAACTGTTAACCTAATCATTGTTAAGGAGTTATCAATTTATTATGAACTTACTGTTTTAAACATGCTTGGCTTTTTTCTAGTCACTTCAGGATCTTCTCTAAGTTAGTACTTAGCAACTTGCCAAAAAAGCCAAGGACAGAACCTATAGGACTTCCAGATCATAAAATAATATCCTATTATAATAYATAATCACATGCCATACTTTTATATAGGCATCCTACCAAGATTTATGACCACTGAACCATATAAATGTTATCTTATTTCCCCTTTGTAGCCAAGGGCCAGGGAACAGTGACACAAGCCAGAGGCTAAAAAAAAAAAAAAGAATAACCCCTAGAAAAATCCCACATACATCTAGGATAAACCACAAAGATCCTAGGCTYTTTAAGAACAAGCTGATTAAAAGCTTAGCAAAAAACAAAACATCTGCATCTAGTGTAAAGGTACAATTCAGCACTTAAGCAACACAAGAGAGAGAGTGGTGCTTTTACTTAAGGTTTATATTTTGCTTTCTTTTATACACTGTCCAATGTAACAAACCTGTATGATCTTTTGAGAACTGATGCAAGTATCAGTTCTTCAAGGTAAATTCCTGACTCAGAGTACAAACTCTAGCTACAGAATATGTATACAGATAATCCAGCTAATTGGCAAAATTAAAAGAATTATTTCAAATGGCAAATTCTAAAAACAACTCATTACAAAAGAAGGAAAACGAAAAGGAATAACCATTAAACAATATACTTCAGGGTCACTAAAAGGCATTCTATTTTACATTGAAAACAGAAAAATCAAGATTTAGGCTAAATATAAACATGGGCTTTTTTTGTTTAAAGAAACAAATAAATTAGTAACATACCGTCTGTCTGAGATTTACTGAGGAATATTGTGCTGGCCCGGGGATGATCTGAAGGATTGAATTCCATGTTCAAATCTTTAAAGAAAGAAAAACAAATTGTGTGAATAACCATCTGATAACTAAGGAGAGCCAAGATTAGTTTTCAATTTTTTTCAACCTTAATTGCTAATATATCTCAAAGATTCTGGAAACCTACTATTGTTAAAGGATTCCTTTGATTCAATTAAAAACACTATTCTTTAGAAATATGAACAAGTCCCATATAAAAATTAGACATTAAGCTGGAGATATATTAGCCTCAATCTCTATTTTCTTTTTAAGAGTGTGTTCTACACCCAAGAGACCATAAAAGAGAAATACCAGTTATCATCTGCAATTATGGTGAGTTAYACACTGCAACAGGTTTGTCTGAACTCCACTATTAAGAGGTATTTCCTTGTCAAAGGTGACTAAAATAGGATATCTCAACTGGTTAGGCTCAATCAGCACCCACACACTCTGCTTGGTTAAAATTATTTTGAAAGGCAAAACTTATCMCTTAAGTAAACACTGCATATTGGCCATTTATGGGCCTAATGTGGGCCACACATGTGTTCTCTTTGATCCACAATTTGGAAAAACAATTCAGGCCAACATATAAAAAAATCAAGAGATATCAAACACACCACCACAAGGGGGAAAATTCCCTATTTCCAGCTTCTCTGAAGAAATCAGATCACTTGGTAAGACCAAATCCTCAGGCCCCAGTCCTTTCCCCTTCCTGACACTCAGTAGCACTCCTTACTTTCCTTTCTTCCCACTCCCAGGCACTTGGTTTTGCAGCAGTCCCTGCATTAGAACAATTTCCAAAGGTTAAGGGCTTGTCAACTTAGAATCACACTATAGAAGAATAATCAGTTGAACACAAAAACATAAGCAATAGCAACAAGAAGCTCAATCTGATTCTAAAGGAAAAGATTGGTTAAGCAAACCAAGAGAATTAAGTTAGGGGAGGAAAAAGAAAACATCTTTTTAAAAAAATCACTTCAAATCATCTTCAAATCAGCTTACATCATCAGAATGAAAACTATATGGGGTTAAATTATTTCAATAAATTTTAAAAAACCAAACAACACCAATAAAAACAGATGATGCATATGCTTAACTTAAATAGCTAATTAAGTCAAAGATAAAAGGAAGAAAAAACAAGGATGGTCATGTAGACACCAAAAGCAACACTGCATCRCTTATCCTCAGCAAATCCCTGACATGACATAGTGTTCTCACATAGCCGATCACATTCTGAATTGTACTTTCTAATTTTTCACTGGGACTTGATTTTAAAAACACCCACTGAATCTTAAACCCATGGTACATCAGTTATCTGACCCTTCAGGTATCACATAATTTGTATTAAACTTACACCAGAGTTTCACAGTTAAAGGGCACTGATGGATTTTGATGGACGGAGAAAGATGGCAAAGAGAAACAAATTTTCATACCCTTTAATTTAAATCTGATGAAGTTAGGCCAGAAAATTCCTGGAGAAAATGATTCTTTGTGGGAGGGTTTCCTGCTCAATCAAGATCATGTTTATTTTTTTTAATAGAGGGGTATTTAAATAACAAAGGTGTTAATTGTTTGAGGACCTCTATATATAAAAGTGAGGGCAATATGTAATTCTAAGCACACATGGATGCAGAAATCTTAATACATAATCCCCTCGGAGAAAGCATCAGCTCAGAGAGAATGAGCACATGGTGCCTACATGTTCCTGGGGTGACAATAACAACCCAATGCTCTGGCCTCAAACAGTATCAAAACCACAAAGCCTTACTTCGTTGTGCTTTTTAATCCCTCACTTTTTTTTATTTGTTCTTTTTAGATACACATGACAGTAGAGTATATTTTGACATACATACATGAAGTATAACTTATTTAAATTAGTATCCCATTCTTGTGATTGTACATGATGTGAAGTTTTCCTGGTCATGTATTATATATGAACATAGAAAAGCTATGTCCAGTTCATTCTACTGTCTTTCCTATTCCCATCCACCCTCCCTTCCCTTCATCCCCTTTTGTCTAATCCAAAGTACTTCTATTCTTCCCTTCCTCCACCCCTCTTGTGTGTATCATCCACATATGAGAGAGAAAATTCGGCCTTTGTTTTTTTGGGACTGGCTTATTTCACTTAGCATGAAGTACTTGCTCCAGTTCCACCCATTTGCTGACAAATGGCATAATTTCATTCTTCTTTATGGCTGAGTAACATTCCATTTTGTATATATACAGTATTTTCTTTATTTACTCATCAATTAAAGGGTACCTAGATTGGTTCCATTGCTTAGATTAGCTATTATGAATTGAACTGCTATAAACATAGATGTGGCTGTATCACTATACTATGCTGATTTTAAGTCCTTTGGGTATATATCAAGGAGCGGGATAACTGGGTCAAATGGTGGTTCCATTCCAAGTTTTCTAAAGAATCTCCAAACTGCTTTCCAGGGTGGCTGCACCAATTTTCAGTCCCACCAGCAATGTCTGAGTGCACCTTTTTGCCTACATCCTCACCAACATTCATATGGTTGCTTTTATTCTTGATAATTACCAATCTGGAGTGAAATGGAATCTCAATGTAATTTTGACTTGCATTTCTCTACTTGCTAGAAATGTTGAACATTTTTTCATATATTTGTTGATTGATCATATTTCTTCTTCTGCAAAGTGTCTGTTCAGTTCCTTTGTCCATTTATTGATTGGGTTATTTGTTTTGTTTTGTTGGTGTTAAGTTTTATGAGTTCTTTTTATATCCTGAAGATTAATGTTCTATCTTAGGTGCAGGGGGCAAAGATTTTCTCCCATTCCGTAAGCTCTCTCTTCACATTATTGTTTCCTTTAATGTAAAGAAGCTTCTTAGGTTGATACTGTCCCATTTATTGATTCTTGATTTTACTTTTTGTACTTTGGGAGTCTTGTTGAGGAAGTCAGTTCATAAGCTTACATGATGGAAAGTTGGGTCTACATTTTCTTCTCGTGGGCACAGAGTCTCTGGTCTAATGTCTAGGTACTTGATCCACTTTCAGTGAGTTTTGTGTAGGGTAAGAGATAGAGGATCAATTTCATTCTGCTACACAGGTATTTCCAGTTTTCTCAGCACCATTTCTTGAAGGGGCTATCTCTTTTCCAGTGAATGTTTATGGTGTCTTTGTCTAGTGTGAGATAACTGTATTTATGTGGATTTGTCTCTGTGTCTTCTATTCTGTACCACTAATCTTCATGTCTGTTTTGATGCCAATACCATGCTGTTTTTGCTACGATAGCTGTATAGTATGATTTAAGATCTGATATTGTGATGCCTCCTGCTTCACCTTTCTTGCTAAAGATGCTTTGGATATTCTAGGCCTCTCATTTTTCCAAATGAATTTCATGACTGCTTTTTCTCTCTCTTTCTTTCTTTCTTTCTTTCTTTCTCTCTTTCTTTCTTTCTCTCTTTCTCTCTTTCTCTCTTTCTTTCTTTCTGTTGTAGATGGACACAACATCTCTATTTTACTTATTTATTTATTTGTATGTGGTGCTGAGGATTGAACCCAGGGCCTTACGCATGTGAGGCGAGCACTCTACCACTGAGCCAGAGCCTATGAAGAACATCACTGGAATTTTAATAGGAATTGCATTAAATCTGCATAGCGTTTTTGGTAGTATGGCCATTTTGACCATATTAATTCTGCCTATCCAAGAACATGAGCGGTTCTTTTCATTAATTTCTTTCTTTAGTGTCCTGTAGCTTTCATTGTAGAGGTCTTCTACCTCTTTTGTTAGATTGATCCCCAACACAAAATTACTTCTTTTGAGGCTATTTTGAAGAGCGTTCCTCATTTCTTTTTCAAAGTTGACTCATCATTAGTGTACAGGAATGCAACTGGGTGTTAATTTTATATCCTGCTACTTTGCTGAATTCATTTATGAGTTCTAAAAGTTTTCTGGGTCTTCTAAATATAGAARCATGTCATCATCAAGTAGGGCTCTTCTTTTCCTATTCATATCCCTTTTATTTCTTTATTTTGCCTAATTGATCTGGCTAGGGTTTCAAGGACTAGAATAGAAGTGGAGAAGGGGGACATCCTTGTCTTGTTCCAGTTTTTAGGGCACTTTTTTCTCCTTTTASAATGATGTGAGGTATGTTCCTACTATGCTAGTTTTTCTGGTGTTTTGAAAACAAATGGATGCTGTATTTTGTCAAATGCTTTTTCTATACCTATTGAGATAATCACGTGATTCGTGTCTTTAAGTCTATTGATGTGATGTATTACATAAATTAATTTCTGGAGGTAGGACCAACCTTGCATCCCAGTCATAATCACCATTTGATCATGGTGCACTACCTTTTCATTAAGTTTTTTGTGCACTTTGCCACTAATTTTATTAAGAATTTTAGCATCTATGTTCATCAGGGATACTGGTCTGAAACTTTCTTTCTTTGATGTGTCTTTGTCTGGTTTTGGTATCAGCATGATACTAGCTTCATAGAATGGGTTTGGAAGGGTTCCCTCCTTTTCTACTTCATGGAATAATTTGAGGAGGTTTCGTRTTAGTTCTTCTTTGAAGATCTGGTAGAACTCAGCTGAGAATCTGTCTGGTCCTGGGCTTTTTTGTACGTAGGCTTTTGATGGCAACTTAAATTTCATTGCAAAGCTTTACTTTGTTCCTTAACACCCAATGTCTACTCATCAATCTTACAGTTTCTTTAAGACCCACATCTTAATATTAAAAGCTATCAGATGGGGTTTTTAGAACACTACAAAGCACGTAAAGCTTCCCTGTTTGGAGTCAAAACTATATAATACTGCCATTTGTTTCAGAATGAGAACCTGCTTCTAAATCCTAGAATGTCTTGGAGATTAAAATTCTTTACCACAATGTACACAAGCCCCCCAAATTGCTAAGAATGGGGATGTCACAGACTCTAAGAGAGAGCTTCCAACAATAGGGCATTTGTTATAGTACATAATAATATATCAATGTTATGGTTTAGATATGAGCTGTCCTCCAAAAGCTCATGTGTGACACAATCCAAGAAAGCTTAATCCAGA